ATGATTAAGAGTGCTCAGCAAATACTTCTCAAGCCTATACTTAAAACAGGATCCTTAATTATCTTTCTTTACTATGTCTGCATGGCACTGCAGCGTGTGGAAGCTGTACTTCAGCCCTGAGGAGCAGTTTAGCTGGGTTTGCAAGGCACTTTAACACTGAAAAGCAAAAAATGACTCCACAGAAGAAGGTGAGGTTTTGCCAATTAGTTTTGGCATAATGCTAGGTTGCTGTACGTGTTCTGAGACCCAGGCTGACTCAGGTATTGCTGCCCAAAGATAACACTTTTCTGTGCAGCATTGCATGCCTCACAGAAAATAGGGAGCCAGTATTTAATTAAATGGCTCATGCATGAAGGGTTATGTCTTCCTCCTGTTTGTTTAAAGCTCAATAACTTTATCTGTTTTCCTCACTGGTATGTAGGTGGCATATCAGTGCTAATTAAGTAGAAAGTACGTACAGCTAACAAGGTTAAAACCACATACAGTTACAGATGTCATTCAATTTCCATTATGTTATCTTGAAGAAAGTTTGCATTAGTCAGCTCTTCAATTTTAGTAAATAAAATCTGTAACTACTTGTAAAATCTGCTGTACTGATGATTGTGATGATTGTGATTTTATTTGTTATTCACTCATTCAGAAACTGAAGCACACCATTTAAGAGGCTATGATTAAATCCACATTTTCCTCTATACTGTAATTTTTCTCTGCAAAATTAAATGACTTTATGTATAAACATACTGAAGTACTGATGCATGAATATAAGCATTTATAATCAGTGTGAAATGTAAAGCCTGTGCTGCTGGTACAGGTTATTCTTTCACTGTAGAATGTTGAAATGTTGTCTTAAGCCAGTCAGCAGCACTGATTATTTATAGTGCTAGGAAAAGAAGTGTAATTTTTTTAAGTCAATTGTAAAAGTGGACGAGGGGCCTGTCAAACACGATGCAAAGCAAAAACATTATTTTCAAAGGTTATTATAGATGTATCAGAGAAAGAGGAAGTATGTGAGCTTCAAACAGGGATTTTGAAAATATTTATGAAATAGCATTGTTATTAAAAGAACTGGATGTGTGGAAATGGCTTCATATGTGCCCTTCCATTTCTATGAAGTGTTCACTGAAGCTGTAGAGGGTTTGTACTAAGGTTCTTGAGCTCAGCCAAAACCTATGATCAGACTTCTGAGGAGTTCTTACCAACTTTTCATGTCCCTGTGATGGTAACCTTCCTGACTGTAATATCATCTCCTTCAATAACCTCTCTTTGAGAAAGTCTCGGCGGTACATTTAACCAGACCCACTCAACAACAAGATGACAAGGTATAGTAAAGTAACCCATGAGGCAAAGAAACAGCATTAGAAATTTATTCAGAATATAAGAACATTTGTAAAATAAGTATTATAAATGTCTCTGTATAAATAAATGCAGTTTTTACAGTTCTATATCAAATAAACCCAAAATGGCTATTTTACAGCAGCTAGGAAACTAAAAGGGCAGCAACACATTTAAAGCTAATCCAGTAAGGTGAAAAGGTTCTAGAATTTCAATGAATGGTACAGTATTAAAGGAGGAGAAAAATCCTAATAAAAGCAGTAGAACAATACTGACATTAATGTAAATTTAGTCACATGTGCTTTGCAATAAGCTAACAGTACATTCAAGCTGGTGAAGATTTATATATTTAATTAGAAAAGAAAGATACTTTTTCTTCTGAACACACTGTGAAATACAAAGTTTCATGCACTCTAGTGATTTAGAAAATTTTAAAAAAAATCACCGTAAGATTAATTAAGTGTTCTGTTGCAAGAACCATGTATTTTTCTTGCTATTTTTTTCTGCAACAGGTGTTAAGTGAGCTCGGTTGCTCTGACTCAAGGTGATCTGCACACATGTCTGCAGGCTCGTGTGCTGGCATTTCAGTTGCATGAAAGGAGTTATTTTTTTTGGTCTTTATTCTCAGAATTGGTGTCATTTAAGCAGGTATACTGGAACTGCAGCTAATTGTTAATATTAAAAAGTTTTCACAATAACAGTGAACTTTCACCACTTCCCTATACTCCCTTTTCCAGTATGTTAACAAATAAAGCAGCAGCTGCTTGCTTAGGCAGAGTAACTGGTAATTGGCAAACTGTAGCTACTGCTGAGGCTGCATGAAACCAGTCCTGCTTTTTCATCTGCAAGTCCTGGGGAAAGAAAGGGGGAGTGGCTTACATTTACTGATGATTTGTAATTTATTCTAAAACACTTTTAGAGCACAGTTGGCAAAGAAGGTACACAGTTAATGTGATAAGACGCAGTTTATGCAAAATCACTAAATTGTTAGGCCTGAAAAAGGCACTGAGGTACACTGCAGATTTTTATGCCTTTAAAACCAAATGCTTTTTATGCTTTCTTAATTTGTATCTTTCCTTTAAAGACAGGTTTCAATTCAAATGCTTTAAGCTACATTGTATTATGCTTAACATTGTTTATAGCTACCAAAAAATAGAAAACAAAAAAAAAGAGCCTAAGAGGAAATCCAGTGCAGTAGCAGTTTCTGGTTACCTTATCACAGAATCACAGAGTACTTTTGGTTGGAAGGGACCTTTGAAGATCACCTACTCCAACCATGCTGCCATGAGCACAGACATCTTCAACTAGATCAGGTTGCTCAGAGCTCGATCCAACCTGACCCTGAATGTCTCCAGGGATGGTGCTTCTACCACCTCTCTGGGCAACCTGTGCCAGTGTCTCACCACCTTCACAGTAAAAAATTTCTTCCTTACATCTAATCAAAATCTACCAGTTTAGTTTAAAAAAAAATTCCTCTTGTCCTACTGTGGTAAGAAGATTGTTCCCATCTTCTTTATAGGCCCCCTTAAAGTACTGAAAGGCTGCAATAAGGTCTCCTCAGAGCATTCTCCACATGGATAGTTTGAGATGACCTCAAGTTACGTGAGTGTTTCAGATCCAAGACGATAAAACTAACTACATTTTTGCCAGAGTACACAGTGGATAATTTTGTGTTTTTTCAGAAACAAATATGATCAGCTACCACTGAAGCTTATAACAAAACCCCCTATTTCTGGTGGTGAGAAACTTGTTGCCAAAAAAGGGAAACGCCACGGATAGACAATTAGCAAAACCATGAAGACATGAAGAAATCAATATGCCGGCATCCTCAGCAGACTGGTTTGCAAAAATCCCCATTTGCATTATAAATTAAGAAGTGCAATTATCTTGAGAAAGAGGACTGATGAAAACCAATCCCAGGGTATCCCCACCTACGATTTGATTTTTAAATCAGCATTGTTTTAACTTGCTATTGCAATCACGTATGGTGTCGGCTTTGTAGCTGCTCTGTCAGACTCTAGAGAATTAGGAATCACTAGCCTAAGAAAGAAGAGGAAGAGATGTCATGAAGGATTGTCAGGAGGATGAGATGTCATGAACACCAACTGCTACAGTTTCCAACGTAACCAAGACTAAACCATAAAGCCACATTCTGAACACAAATTCCCACAACTATTTTGGCTGCCCAAGAGTAGACAAAATCAGTTCAGGTCCTCTAAAAATATTTCCTTAGTACTAGAAATTAGGAATAAATGAGAGAAGTTACCATAAGACTAAATACACTAATAAAACTTGAGGTGCAACTCAACATGTAAAGCAAAAAAGATAAACAACTCCTGATTCACTTGAAAACAGCCTCAAAAAAATAGGAAGTCAAGGTGTAACACAGTAACAGGCTAAGGAAGTTAATGGACTCTTAAGCTTGCATGTTAGAACATGGAAGCTGTTTTACATACTCGAGTCAAAAAAAAGCAAATTCTGAACGAAACAGGTGCAATGGCAGACCCCTGTATATTTTGCTCTCTAGCGAAATCAACCTGATTGCCATGCTTTGCTTAACGTTCATTACCATAATAGGCCAACATTTTCAATTCAGTCAGTTTGATAACACAGTAACAAAATGTTGAACAGGAGAATGTTACGAGTAACAAAAACTAACATAAGAAACTTCACCATTCACATTCCATTTGTGGCTGTATATCCATACACTTACATATTTATAGTTTTGTGCCTATGTATTCAATATTAAACAGGTACGTTTTGAGTAAGTACCTTTTTTGGTCAAAACATACAAAAAGAAGACATTCTACCTCTTGTTCACAGAAAGCTGTAATAAGCACTATACATGTGACAAAAAATGGCCCAGCTTCTTAAGGAAAACCTTGGCTATACTGTATTAACTAGAAAAAATGCTTCACAAAATAATGGCAAACACCATGCAAGATAAATACCCCGAGGTCTCCTGTAATTTACTGGAAGTTGGCACAGCCTATCTATCTGGCACAGTGAAACTCACAGCCTTTAGTCCTCTTACAAACTCCAGAAATACACCATTATTATAGTTTTCAGAGATGCAACGACGGTTTCTTGGGTTTTGTTGTTTGTTGGTTTGGTTTTTTTCCCAAAGCAACAGGAGTTTTCCTACCTGATCTGCACTATGACTGACAGTATGGCAAGTATGGTGCAAAAACCTGAGCCAGCCCATCATCTTCCCACTGCAGCTGCCTATTTAGTTGATTTAACCGTGGCAGCAAGTCTTGAGGGTACGATACAGAGCTGTGTGCAGAAGGGAGCTCAGGGATTGGGAAAACTCTAAAATTATCTCCAAACTGCCCAAATTAAAATCTCTTAACATGAATTATTTTGCAATGTGACACTGTCATCTGTGGGACATATGTAAAATGGAAGAGAAGCTGTACGAATATACACAGTGACACAGACAAAGTACATAGTTATAGCATGATAATTCAGGCACTGCCATTTTACATTATGAAACAGTATTTAAGGTTAACACTTACATTATCCCCATGGCACCTCTCTGGGATCCCAGAGAAGGTGCTTAAGTGTGTCAGCACTGACAGTCAGTGCTTTTAGCATTTGAAGCTACCAAAAAGTCAGCCTCCACAAGAAATTCGTAATGGCACTAAGCATCTTTGGAAGAGATGCATTTAAAGTGAAGTTTCATTGGTGTGTGGTCTAGAGTTCTCTTCTTCCAGTAAAGCTATTCTTTGTTTGAGCATCCTTACTTGTGTTTCGTGTCTCTCCACCATGGCCATCATTTGTGATTCCAGTTTCTTCAGCTTGTTTTGATGCTTTTTCTTTGCTTTTTCATAAGCTGCTACCAAGTTGCTGTTAGAAATACAAGGCAATATGACGGCATTCAAAAAAGCTTGTTCATAGCAAGCGCTACGAAGATCCATCCCAAAACCCCACCTTCAGGCAACTCCAAAGTTTGGGTACTGATCATCTTCCTGAAATTTACTACTCCTTTAAAATGCATTAGATCCAAACCTTATTGATCCAAACTGAAGTTCTGAGGGTCAGGTACACAACTTTACCCATAAACTGATTTCTGAAAACTTTTTAAACATGGTTCAGTGTCAGCTAGAGGTTGCTGATGATGACCTTGCAGAGCACTGTTTGTGTGTCCGGATACCGCAACATTAAACATGTAATGATTTACAAAAAAAATTGCAAAGCCAGGATCTGCTTACAAAATCCAGCATTGATTTTGCATTTTCCATTAAAAATAATTGAGTTATATTCAGAGGACAGCACCTTGTGCTAATCTGTCAACTGCCAATTATCTTCTGTGCCTCCCCCTTGAGTCGGTAGGAAAGCGTGAGATGGCTGCTGCTCCCTGCAACAAGTGCTTTCAAGTATAATTTATTAATGAAAACTACACTGTGAGTGATGGGTGCCTCACAGGAAGGGCAGCTACAGTCCACCATATCCTCACTCTGTCCAAATGTAGCACCAGTAAAATCTGAGTAATTAATGTAAGTGTGATTATTGAAGCCAGTTTACTAATGAAGAGGCTGGAGCCAAAGAAAAGGAACAATTTAAAAGAAAGTAGCAGATTCATGAATCTGATTAAATGGGGTTTTTTGTTTTAATAATAATGCTTTTACTAAGATTAATCTGTTTCCTCCAGTCTCTTCTTATCTGTGTAGTTTTCAGTGTCCTACACAGGAGGTTTATATCTCCCTCATCTCTTAACTATAACCCTAAAGAGTCAATGCATATAAATGCAAGGATCCACACACTGGTAGGGGGAGGATTATAGTGCATTAGCAGAACATGGCAGACAAAACCCCCCAAAACGAAAAAGCAGTGGGGCATCTTTCTGCTGGTAGATCCTTTACCTGTTTGCCCTCTTAAGGTCATTAACGAATTCTGCAGACTGCTGATGTCTGATTTCGCTGCTCTTTGTGAGTCTCTCCAAAGCACTCACTAACTCTTGCACTCTAGCTTTCAGTTTCTTCTCCCTGGATCAGAAGAAAAGGAGGGAAAAAACTTTTTTTTTAAAACTGAAGTAATGCTTCGCATTGCACATGCATGAATGGTTGTCCTGTGCTGGGAGGCTGACAGGCTGAAAATACTGTCCGTACTACTATATGGAAAATACAGGAGGTAGTTCTAACAGTAAACTTTTCCACAGATTGGCTTTTATTACATTCACCATTTTAGAACACAAACTCAGAGATGCAGCAGACAAAAGAGAAAACAAACTTCTCAGGTGGGTCATGGTCTTGTGTGCATCAAATCACACTGAGAAATAACCACGGAGACACATAAATAAAAATTTAAGAATACCTGGCACATGCCACTTACTGTGTCTTAAATGAGCTAATGAAGAAAACAAGGAAGGCAAATCAAACATCATGGTAATCATACAGGAATTCTAATTAAGAGTAGCACACCAAGATTGCTATTAATTTGCTAAACAAATTTCATTTTTACTTAGAAGTGACTATAGAATCATAGAACAGTCTGAGTTGGAAGGGACCTTTACAGGTCATCTAGACCAACTCCCTTGCCATGGGCAGAGACACCTTCCACTAGATCAGGTTGCTCAGAGCCCCATCCAGCCTGGCCTTGAATGTGTTTCCAGGGGTGGGGCTTCTACCGCTTCTCTGGACAACCTGTTCCTGTGTTTCACCATCTTCAGAGAAATTCTATTGATTTCAGTTACTGCTTCAAATTTACTCGAGTAATTTATACTACAGTCTGTATCACAGTCGGTCACGGGTTTTTTAGGAGCCAGCAAGTTGAGTCCATGTGGCAGTGGTAAACAGAAAAAGTTGGTAAAGAGAGGGTGGAGTAGAGACAGAAAAGGGCAAGCACAAAAAATACAGAAGAGAAAACACAGGCATTTCCTTCTAAGAAGTACTCTTTTTCTTTCAAATATTTCACAACAGTGAGGTTTAAAATGTTGATAACATTACCAATACTTACTTGCCAATTATGAACCAAAAACTAGTTACATGAAGCACGCCAGAATGGAAGTAAGGTACCTTATAATATTTTTACATTACAAAGATCTCCATGAGGGAAAGAAAAAGCAAACAGCGCATTAAGTTCTGGGTAGCAGTAAGCGCTACAACTTGAGGTTTAAGCTGGCTTTCAAAAGCAGCAGGCGAGCACATGGCATATGAGGCAGGTGCTTCTTCCTTGGGAGCTGCCTGCTGCAGAGCACCCAGAGCCCCTCTCTGTGATCCACCTGACAGCCCAGACAGAAAAATAACAGATTTGGAAGTAAAAACGTGGACAAGAATAAAATGGGGCTGGGCTGAACTAGGACAAAACCAGATTTTGCAGTGTTGATCCTTACACTTGGGAACTTTGCATGTATGGAGACGTTCATCCATGCTTTGCTGCCCAGAATGGCTTTGAAGTGATTCGTCTTTCCCTCCTGTTTTTCCTGCGGTGCTGCTAAGCGACTAAACTGAGTTTCATCTCAATAACAACACTACCGCTAGCTCTCGCATAAACCCACAGAGCCCCATGGGAAGCGAATCTCCAAAAGTTCCCGAAAGCTTCCCCAGGCCTGCACAGAGATGCTCCCCAAAAACTGGCCCCCCAGCCTGCAGTTCCGAGGCTGGCCTGGCAACGGCAGCATTTTATAACCAGAGGCGAGGACAGCACATGTGGCACCTCTCACCGCACTCGGTTTCAGCAACAGAAGGGCTTTCACAACGTCAGCCGGGGAAATATTCCAAGTTAGCAGTTTATCCCAACACACTGCAGAGACTGGTTTACTGGCCAAATTGAAAAGGACATAAGAGAGGCCTTGTTGATGAAGAATCATCAGTATTCTTTATGTGTCCTTTCACTGAAGTAACATACTCGCAGTTTTCAAATTATAAATTTTTTTCCCTAGCAGTTAACAGGTCACTGCCACCCACTCCAAATATAAATTTTATTTTTTATATCCTATCTTAGCAGTCAGAAAGACTCAGCATAGTCTACAGTCAAAATCTGTGTTTTACAAAGTAAACAGAAACAAAAAAAAAAAAATCCAGTTTTTACCTGTGATAGAAGATAAACAGGAAAAAAATCAGGCCTGGCAGAGGCCAGACCCATAATCTAATATGTGTGTGGCACTACTGATAGGACAGGACAAAGTATGGTGAATGTGGTGCTTGTGTCCAAAGGACACGTCAGCCAGAGGCTCTGTGAAAGGCTCAGCAGCACCGTGCCCAGCACTTCGACCTAGCCTGAATGGCAAGCCCGATGGAATACACATTCACAGTATTTGGATGAGGAGAGAAAGCTAAAAATCACATGGGGTTGATCTAACATTACATGCAAGAAAAGGCGTAGCTGTGAAAACACTGCACACAGTCTCAGGGGAAAGAACCCTGTAGAGCCAGAGTTTACTGCAGCTGAAGTCTTTAACACACCTGCTGTAACAAAAGCTATGTGGAAAAGAAACACAGTGGAAAGATGTGGAGGAACTTGTCATGCATGGTAAAGTTTGGTTGCTACGGTGACTGTTACCTGATAAAACTACTACACCACCTTTTGTCTGGTTTTGCACTCACACTTTGCAACCAGTCACGTTCTGTCTGAACTCAGCTAAACATCAAGAGGTATTTCTTTACCTTCAGCCTGTAACATCCTCGTCTTGCTGCTTGCCAGGGATTCAGTGCCAGTGGAGTGGTGAGCACCCCGGGCCTCCACAGGCTAGTTAAACAACTCTCAGATGCTAGCTCTGAACCATCTAGCTAAACAGGTAACAGTGGCTAATCCTTCAAACCTACAGATGCCTCAAATTTATATTTATGCCAGTAAAACACAAGTATTCCCCAGGCTGACAAGATCTACACCGTTCTTTTTGTCTTTTCTTGATGTCTTTAAGTTGAAGAAAGCAGCACTAGCTAGTGCCTACTCCCACCTTGATCTCAGGGAAAGCAATAGGCGGTTTGATACATGTGATGAAATGTCCCACAATCTCAGAAAAACAATACATAGGCATCTACTGTTACACTTACTCTTCCCAATTTAAAACATGCCTATCTAAGTATCTTTACTTCCACAGAGGCATTTCACAAATAGTAACACCTGAGCAGACTACATATATAGTGGCAACAGTACAGGCACAGTAAATACCTTGTTTTCATCTGGGAAATGCAGATGCATATACACTCGGTTAATGACTATTACATGCAAAAAGCATGTAAAGTTTTCCACAGAGTGCTGCACCTTCTATTTACGTAGCAGATGAGAGATGTCAGAGTTGTACCTTACTGACTTGGCCAGCAAATGCTATATCCCTTCACAAAAATCCCATGCCTCGTAATGTTAACTCTCCCACTTATCTCTATTTTTATCAGTAATTATCTCAGTTTGGACAGAAAGAATTGTCCTTATTCGTGTCTCTGCAAAACTCATTGCTTAGTCGGGCAGTGAAGAGGAGTGATAATGAATCCTGAGGTGCTATTCATACACCTTTAGTGCATTCCACTCCACTTTCCTGATTGCTGTTACAAATCAGCAGGGTATGAAGAATCAGCCGCTACAGGCTTAATAAGACAGAATATTTTAAGACAATAGTCATAGTCATACACAGCATTTTTCAAGGATGTGCATGTGTCAAAGCTGTGAATCACGGATGGAACTGCCTTTGAGCCAACAACTATAAGAATTCCCTGCTGACAGTGATCACTGTATGGTTGTGGCACAGCCTGCTGATGCCAGACAGTCTGTTTCCGAGTCTGACGAGCAAATCACCACAGAATCTTACATGCTGAACTCACAGTGCTATCGTGCCCCAGGGCTGTAATACAGACCAGGACGCATCCCGAGAAAGCATTTCTGTGTGCATTTTGATTGAAAGAGGGAAGGAGAAGTAATTTCTGTGAGCCCCTAAGCCACAAGTCAATCGGATCGTAGAAGTCAGCACAGCTTTGGCTCCCACCAGTACCTCTTCCAACTGGCTACAGGAGCTATGGAAAACACAGCTGTGGCACCTCGTGCCCAGAGAGAAAAAAGAGTTCATGTTCCCAGAAGAGGGAACAAGCTGATGATCCGAGGGCATGGCTCGCTTCCGACAACCAGGCTCTCTGCTGCAGGGCACTCAAGAATTCAGCTGGGGAAATCCCCGACAGCTCCTTTTCCAAGGAAAAGCTCAGAATAAGTGTTTTCAGAGGCCTACAGCCTAATCCAACATCCACTAAAACTGCTATTTTCAGTGAAACGCCTCATATGCTGGTAACAAAGACTTTCGTTTTGTATTTTCGCAACCAAAACACTGTGGGGATCTGCTAAGCAGTTTTCAAGGGTTTTCTGTTTCAGAGTTACAGGACAGTTTGAATAGTAAGGCAAGCGGTCAGGGGTGGACAGGGCCTAACATTTGCTCTGGTTTCACAGCTACTGCTGCAGAGAGTGAGGATTCTGCCAGAGCGGTTAAGGAAACTATGTCACATCGGGAACATTTCTGCACTTTCTGTCAACTTGGCCTTCACACAATGACACCATGTTTGGCCCAGAATAATGTAAGCAAGGGCTTGGGCACCTTGTGTTTTCCCTCCTGTCTGCGCTTTTTCAGACATGTTCAGGTTTCATATGCCACAAGTCTTCCCAGGTGGATTTTCCTGCTCTTGCTCACTTCATTGAGAATTCCCCAGTGCTGCAAACAGGAAGCTGCTTTCCCCTGGCATGTAGAAAGCTGATTTTTCTGCCCCTGGCTTGGAGTGTACCCAGCTGACTCCCCTTCTTGTAAAGGCTCCTCTGCCCTAGGGTCCAGAGCACCCACAGCTCTTGCCAAATCAGGAGTAATGAGCTCTCTCCACATCGGGAGGTAAAGTTTCCCACGGAGGGTGTGTAAAAGGATGTGTAAAATGATGTTCCTAGGGATGGCAAGATGTTGGATCATGACTTCTGCTGCCAGTGCCTGCTACAAGTAGACCCCTTCAAGTTCTGGCTCCTCTGCTAAATTGGCACCATTAGCTCCAGCTCACCACTCGCCCCTGAGGTCCGCATA